AAAAAAAAAAAAAAAAAAAAAAAAGGCAGTAGAACCCTGAAAGCTTCTAGCTTTCTTACTGTGTCATCATTTTGGCTTATATGTGCTCCTACTGTGGTGCCGTCTGACATATTGTGATATAGCCAAGAAGGCCCTGACTAGAGCTGAGCAATACTGACACCATACTCTTGAATTTCCAGAACATGTGCTAAATAAACGTATTTTCTTTTCAAATTTCCAGCCTCAGGTATTTTGTTATAGCAATAACAAATGGACTAATACAGTCCAGTATGTGGTCTATGTTGGTGAATATTCCATGTGAAATTGAGAAGAATGTGTAATTATGTTTTGTTAGATGAAGTTGTTTATATTTATATCCATTTCATTGATGTTGTTAAATTCTAGCTGGTTCTTTTTTTTTTTTTTTGGTACTGGGGATCAAACTTGGGTCCTTGAGCTTGCGAGGTAGTAAATCCCTGGTCCTCTGGCTGGTTCTTACTGGTTTTCCATCAGCCCTATCTTCTCTGATAAATTCTCCAGTTTTGCCTTGTGTGTTTTGCATATTGTTTACTTTTTCTGTTAACACTCTTAGCATATTAATCATAGTTTGCAAAATCCCTGTAGGCCCTCAGATAATATTATGATAGGGTATGGTGTGAGGGGAAGTGTTTTACAGTCCTTTGATTAAATATTAGCCCTTGGACTGTGAACTTCATAGGCCTTTCAGTTTTTTTTTTTTCTTCCTCTTAGGTGGGACAAGATGACTGGAGGAGGCTGGAGTTATGTATTTTTCTTCTGCCACATGGAAAGTTTGGAGGGACTAGAGTTTGGTAATTTCTTTCCCAAGTCTCTGGTATTTTACCTGGTTAGGGTCTAGTAAAATAATTCTTTCTTAGGACAGAACTTGTTAAGAACAGTAGTCTAGGGCTGGGGATATAGCTCCGTGGTTCTGGTGCCTGCCTCACAAGCGCAAAGTTCGATCACCAGTACCAAAAAAAAAAAAAGAACAGTAGTCTAGAATATTTCAATATTTTTTCAGTCCTGCTGCAGGGAAGCTGGAGAGTATTTTTCCTTGATGTTCACTGTGAGGACTTGTAGAGCTCCTCAGAGTCAAACTCACCAGTAACACGCCTAATCCCTTTGCATATTGGGTCCACTTTGTTATAAATCTGTTAGGCTTGTTTACATTGAGTCTGCAGGAATTTACCAATTATATTTTAGAGTTTCCTACCCCAGTACTGTTTTCCAGAGAAGTTTCTATTAGTGAGTTTCTGCTTCAGTAAATTGTGGGTCTCTGTATCCCCCAGTCTGTGTCTCTAATAATTAGAGTCAGTTTTCTCTGTGTCTCCATTTGTCTGGCAGCTCTAAGAAAAGTTGCCAACTTTTCAGTTTGTTTAGCTTTTAATTATTTTCGGGACAGATTAAAGACTTTAAAGATTCTTATATGCCAGATCAGAAATAGGAAATAGCATTCTTTTTAATATTTCACTGTTTTCTCTGAACAATCAAGTTCCCTTATATCATCATAGTATAAATTCAAGGAATTGTAATGGTGGTAAATTTTTATCATGTAAATAAATTATTGTATTCTATTTTGTCCTACGAATGCCCTTTGTAGTGATTTCTCCCTAGTCTGTGATTTGGTCTAGTATCATGCATTACAGTTAATTGTCATGTCTCTTGGACTTTTTTACTTGGTAACAATTTTTTTACTTTTCATGATATTAGTGTTCATGAAGTGGATAGGTCAGTTGACAGTCTCTTGGCATTTCATTTTATAGACAGAAGTTAGCTAAATGTCTAGCTAACTTAAAACATTTTTTAAAAAATAAAAGCTCAGGTGATCTTGATATTCCACTTAGAAGTTATTTTTCTGGTAGAGTCAAAATTATGGATGTTTATGTCTGTACTGATATATAATGAGAGAAAAACAAATTTCCACTAATACTTTGTTAATGATCAAATAAAAATGTAATAAAAATTAAGGATTTTTAAGTGTAGATCTACTAATGGGAAAAATGAATTATCTTTTTGGGGAGCAGAATGCTTTGCTTTGTTGGGGCTCAAAATTAGTGTTCTGTATTATCAGATTGATTGCAAGATAAAATGAATGTTAGCTCCTGGGCTTTGCCAAAACAAGGAGGCAGGCTGGATTTCACTGTGGGCCATAGTTTTTTGACCCTGTTCTGCAAGATCATTTCAACATTTACTTGTTAGTGTTTACCTCATTTTTAGTACTTTTAATTTGTACCCACTTTCTTTGAATTACTACTGATACATGAACAATATAACTCTTTTCCATAACTATTTTCATCACGTGTATTTCCAAGTAATTTTAGATTCACCAAGAAGTTGCAAATATACTAGAGTTTCGGTGCATTCTTTCTTAGTTATAAAATGCATAAGTATGATAACTACTTTAAAAAAAAATGCCCTTAACTTTGGCAAGAAAGCATTGATTTAAATATGACTTCATTGCAATTTTGTTTCTTGATAAAGAATTTACAACCTTGACTTTACTCTTTACTTTCATTTCTAGGTCAGCCAGCATTACTAACTTGTCACTGGATAGATCTGGATCTCCTATGGTACCTTCATATGAGACATCTGTTAGTCCCCAGGCTAACCGCACGTATGTCAGGACAGAGACCACTGAGGATGAACGAAAAATTCTTCTGGTACCAGTCCAATATCTTTGACCCGTTGCTAGTTTTGAGCATAAAGAGTGATTTCACCAACATTTAAAAAAAGAAACATATAAATGAAATAGCATATCAATTAGCAAAGAAGCCAGGCATGGTGGCACACGCCTGTAATCCTAGCACTTGGGAGTCTGAGGTAGGAGGATCACCACAAGTTTGAGGCCAGTCTGTGCTACATAACAAGATCAAGATCTTGTCTCAGAAAACAGAAAAAAAAAAAGCAAATGAAAATATTTAGCGGAGAAATAATTAGCCTGCCTTTTTACTGTGGTCAGCTGAGAAATTGGTCATGTATTCTTTTTGCACTCATTGCATTGATATTTTCTTTACCTCTTTCATCTGGCAACATCAGAATTCAGTTGCCTGTGTAATTTTATTTTGGTCCCATGCTGCTGTTTAAACTTTGAAACATGTTTTTCATACATAAGGAAAACTTCATATATTTAATTCTATGTTTATGTAAGATAATCACTTTTTTATTAGTTTACTTATATGTAATATGTATGTTTAATTCTGAGAGTGTATGGTTTCTGTCCTCACACTTGCAATTCAAAAGGTAGAAATAAGATCAGTGGAAAGTTTTTATTAGTAAAAGCAGTAATATTTTAAGAGTAAACTATCAAGTAATCTGACTGTATCACAGGAAAATTTAAAAAATGGAAACGTTAGTAACAAGGATGTCAGGAAATGCTTTATAGACAAAGGGCTTGAATTTGTCTTCAAAGGATGGAATGATTTTGAATAGGTAGTAAGGTAAGTGAATCTTATTAAAAGATGTGAGGAAAGGTAGAAGTAAGAATAAATGTGGCATTTTCCATCAGCTAAAGTAGGAATTATTAATTGGGAGAGAGTTTTAAGTTGAAATTATGAGCAGTGAAAATGGGAAGTTATTTTAAACTACAAATTCAGTCCTTCGCAAGTTTAAATTTGCACTTGTACTTACTGAACAGTGTTGAAAGATTTTTTTGAGCAGAAAATAATTAATTGAAGGCTATCCACTAAAAAATTCTCATGGCAGCTGAGTACACAAAATCAGAATGGTTAGAATTTGGTAGAGTGAAAGCTATAGAAAGAGTCAAATAATTGGCTATTGTCTCTCATTACCTTACCCCATCTCCAAAGGAGGATATATTTTGCACTTAACTAGGAGACTTATAATATATACCATTGACTGTAAAAGATAATACCTAGGAAGGTTCTCAAGAGAAAAAGTTATGCTTGGAATTAGATGTGTCAAGTTTAAGCTATTTCTATGTATGTTTCTTATTACATTGTCGTAAGTTAGCTGCTATGCTTAAGTCCCAATCAACATTTCTCTTATGAACCTAAGAATCCTAGGAAGGCATATGAAAAGTTATATAGCATTCGTCTCAGGAGTAATTGCTTACTTTTTAATGTCATTGCAGGATAGTGTTCAGTTAAAGGACCTGTGGAAAAAAATCTGCCATCACAGTACTGGGATGGAGTTTCAGGATCACCGCTACTGGCTGAGAACACATCCCAACTGCATTGTGGGAAAGGAATTAGTTAACTGGCTAATTCGAAATGGGCACATTGCCACAAGGTATTGTGAGCCTAAGAAGGAAGATTTGATATTATTTATTAATTTTTAAATAGGGCACATATTTGAAGATAGAAGGTAACATTGTAAGTTAGGGTGCTTTTTTTGATGTATCTGATGGTTTGGGGAACTGATTAGTGAATCCTCCTCCATGTGGGTTTTAACTAGTAGAGAATAATTATAAGGAATTTAATAAGGGTTGTAAAGTAGGATTGGACAATGTAGCTCAATCTAAGGTCAAAGGATTCTCCTACTACTATTTTCTAGCCTAGACATTACATCCTGTGTTGAGAATGGAGTCTCAGGCCATGCCTCAAGGAGCCTAGCCTATCTCACAAATATTGTAATAAAGAAGAACAGGCAAGGCTACTTAGTTTTTAAATTAACATACCCTGTAGTCTTTACCACTTGCTCAGATGAGCTCTTTTCCTTTCATGAGATGAAACAAACATTTAAAGAAGTAAGAGAGAGAGAGAGCTTTAAGTGGGACAGCCCTGGGTTCCAGTTTTGGCTGTATCTCTTTTTAGTCTTGTGCCTTTAGTCAAATTCACTATTTTTGAAACATAGTTCTAATGCAGAAATTTTGTTCACATATAGATGCTCATTTTATATTATATATGTAATATTTGTCATTGTCTTCTCAAGACTGAAAGCTCTTTGAGTAAAGGGGCCATGCTGTTTTCAACACTCTATTACTCCTCTGTTAAGAACAGAGGTGTAGCTGGGCATGATTGTGCACGCTTATAATTCCAGCACTCAAAAGTCTGAGACAGGAGGATTGCTGAGAGTTTGGGGCCAGCCTGAATCATGTAGTGAGACCCTGTCTCAAAAAAAAGAAAAAAATGTACACAGTAAATTCTTGATGTAATTAACATTAGGGTTTGCACTGGGTGTGATGGCACACACCTGTAATCCCAGTACTCAGGAGGCTGAGGTAGGAGATTTGCCACAAGTTAGAGGCTACACTGGTCTGCACAGTGAGTTCAAGGACAGACTAATTACATAGCAAAAAAACCAAAAAGTAGGTTTTGTTAGGACACATTACCAGTAGGTTTTTCTGTTTTACTGTGGTACCTGGAATAATTTTATAATTTGCTTCAGGTTTCTCTTTCTCTTATGTATCCAAGCACCATTTGAAAATCCAACTCTGATCAGAAATGAAAAAAGTTATATTTTATCTTGTACTTGTAAAATTATTCTGCTTTCATTGGTCTTGATTCAGGGCACAAGCTATAGCGATTGGACAAGCAATGGTAGATGGACGTTGGCTGGACTGTGTCAGTCATCATGACCAGCTCTTCAGGGATGAGTATGCGCTATACAGACCATTGCAGGTAGTTTTCATATTCTGATTAGAATATGCCTTAAAGTTACTCCCCCCCAGTACCTGGTATCGAACTCAGGACCTTGCAGTTGTGAGTCAGGCACAGTGCCACTGAGCTAAATCCCAGGACCTAAAGATTTTTTTTTTTGATGCCGGGGATCGAACTAAAGATATTTTTTATAACATAATTTGCCTGCCGTTTGAGGAAAGCTAAGACACTTTTTTATTTTGGTGTTGGGGAAGGAACCCAGGGCCTGGTGCATACTAAGCAAGTGCTCTACCCCTGCCCAGCCCTACTGCTGTCTGTCCTTTTTTTTTTCTTGTCATCTTCTTCCTCCTTTTCCTTTTCTCTCTTCTTTTTTTTTTTTTTCAAGTGTTTTTGATTTAGTAAGTAGTGGTGATGAAGACCTGCTACTACGATCAAAAATTTTATTCATTTGATGTTCCTTTGGTTAACCTTGGTGTCATGGTTTCTTGCCATTTAATTTTTTTCTTGTTATTTAATTTTAATAGTTTTTAGCTTAACTATATCTGTTATTATAATTAAGAGTGACATATACATGAAAATTATTGAAAAAGTATTACTTATCAAAATAGATTTTTAGGGCCAGGGATTTAGCTCAGTGGTTTGGTGCCTGCCTCGCAAGCGCAAGGACCAGAGTTTGATCCCTGGTACCAAAAAAAAAAAAAAGATTTTTAACTCTAGTACTATTAAATCATATGTGAATTGTACTGAAATGAGTATCTTTTTAACTTTAGAGAAATCGAAATTATTTAAATGTGGGACTTTAAAAAATAATACACTTCTCAGCCAGGTGTGGTGGTGCATGTCTGTAATCCAGCACTCAGGAGGCTGAGGCAGGAGCATCACTGTGAGTTTGAGACCAGCCTGGGCTACATAGTAAGTTCCAGGTTAGTCTCAACTACATAGTGAGACCCTGTCTCAAAAAACAACAAAAAAAACCCCAAACAGTTAAAAAAAGATGCACTTCTGCCTATGTGCTGGCCCTGCAGAGCTGGCTGGCTGATTTGGCTCCTCTCCTTGGACTCGACTTGCAGACTGGCAGGCTGCCTGAGGAGGTGGGGAGGGGAGGAGTGGGCCCAGGTGAGTATGCGGAACTTCTGCGCTAACTGCATGAGGAAGAATATGCAATCCAACGTGGCCTTCTTTGGATTCCCATGAGATCTGGCCAGATGCTAGAAGTAGGATAGCAGACTTAGAAGATAAAATACCTGGTCAACTAAATAAACATGAATTGTGTGCCAAACACTTTGAGACCTCTCTGATGTGTAGAACTATACATTTTTTTCTTTTGTTTTGTTGCAGTACTGGGGATGAAACTCAGGACCCCGCACCTGCCAGGCAGGCATGGTGCCACTGAGCTACATCCCCATCCCAGAACTATATTTTACAGAGACATCAGGAAACTAAAGAATGATTGGGTTATTTTATTTCTCAAAATTAATTGATGCACATACTTGTGAAATCATTGGGAGACCTTATAGGACTGTTTTTCAAAATAATCCAATACCAACAATATTTGATCTTGCCAGTCATTTGAACAATTCACATAGTAGACACAAAATGAATAAAGAATCAAGTGAAGATGAAATCAGGATGTTGATAAGTAAGTGATAGTGTTAATGACTCAGCTTCTGAATGCCTGTTAAAAAGGCCTTGACCTGTTGACAAAACTTGTGAACAAGAAACAGAAACAGAAAAAAACAAACAATAGTAATGCTCAAAATTCTAGTGCAGAAATGGTGGTTGATGAGCAGGATAAAGACATTTTACCTTTAACCTTTGAAGAGAAGGAAAACAGAACACTTTAAAGTTTCTATTTGAAATTTTGATTCTTACGGGAAAACAAAACATACCTCTGGATGGACACGAGAGTGACAAAATCCTAGTAGGTCTCTTTGCTGCCTAATAACTTTTAAAAGTTAATTTTATTGGTACATTTAAGGTATACAATATAATGACATTCATCTTTGGAAATTTGCATCTTTACATAATCCATCTTGCTTCTTATTTTTTCCCCATTCTCCTGCCCTCCCTTCCACCCCTCCATTTCTATCTACAAAGACTTTGTTTCCATTTTTTCTTTTTCTCATATTAATTCCATTCCATTCTCTTTTCCCCTAACCCTCCCACCTCCTCTTTGCACCTTTTCTTCCAATTTCACATTATCTATTATATTGTACCTTTTAGTCCTTATTTACACTTTTAGTTTCTCACACTAGAGAAACTATTCAGTATTTACACTTATGTGTCCTATTTATTTCACTTAAGAGTATGGCCTCAATGTGCATCCATTTACTATAAATGTCTCTAGTTTCTCACTCTTTATGACTGAATAGTACTCCATTTTATTAAAAAAAACCCACATCTTCTTTATCCAGCCTCCCGTTGATGGGCAGTTGGGCTGCTTCCAAGTTTTAGCTGTAACAAATTGTGCTTCTGTGAGCATGAGTGCACATATATCACTGTGGTATGATTCTTTTAATTATTTGTGGAGATACCCAGGGTATCTTGGGTCAAATAGGACTTTTATTCCTAGTTACTTGAGGTATCTCCATACTGATTTTCACAGTGGTTGCCCATTCTACTCTCCCACCAGCAGAGGAGCAGTGTTCCACTTTCCTCACAGCCCCACCAGCATTTGTTATTGGTTGTTTTCATGATAGCAGCCATTCTTTCTGGGGTGAGGTGGAATCTCAGCATTGTTTTCATCTGCATCTCTCAAATGACCAGTGATATTGAACATTTTTTTCATATGTTTAGTTGCTATTTCTACTTCTTTGTCTGAGAAATGTCTGTTCATTTCAGATGCCCTTTTTTGGATTGGGTCTTTAAAATTTGAGGTCCGATTTTTAAAAATTCTTTATATATTCTAGATAGTAGACCTTTGTCTGAGGAACAGCTGGTGAAAATTTTTTCCCACGTGGTGGGTTGTGTCTTTACACTGTTGGTAGTTTCTTTTGCTGTGCAGAAGCTTTTTATTAAGAAGACGTCCCATTTATTGATTGTGCTAGTTCATGGGCAGCTGAGGTTCTTTTCATAAAAGCTTTTCCTACACCAGTGTCTTCAAGGGTTTTGCCTAAACTCTCTTCCAGCCAGTTCAGCATTTCTGTTTTAATATTTAGACCTTTAATCCATTTCAGTTTTAGTTTAGTGCATGGTGAGAGATAATTGGTCTAGTTTTAATCTTTGACAAGTTGAAACCAAGTTTTTCCAGCACCATTTATTAAAGAGGCTATCTTTCCTCGGGTGAGTGTGTTTGGCTCCTTTGTCAAAGATGAGGTGGCTGTGTGTGTCTGGCATTGTTTATGCATCTTCTAATCTGTTCCACTGGTCCTCAGGTCTGTTTCTTTGCCAGCACCATGCTGTTTTTATCACAATAGCTTTGTAGTATAGTTTCAAATTGGGGATTGTGATACCCCCTACCTGTCTTTGTTGCATAGAATTGCTTTTGCTATTCTAGGTCTTTTCTTTTTTTGGAATGTTTTCTCAAGGTCTGTGAAGTATGCTGCTGGTATTTCAATTGGCATTGCATTGAATCTGTATATTAGTTTGGGAAGTATGGCCATTTTCTCTATGTTGATTCTTCCTTCCGAGGAGCAAGGGATGTCTTTACATTTTCTGATATCCTCTTCAATCTCTTTTTTTCAGAGTGTTGTAATTTTCAGAGTAGAGGTCTTTGATTTCTTTTGTTAGGCTGATTCCTAGGTATTCAATTTTTTGGATGCTATTGTGAAAGGAATTCATTGCCCCATTTCTCTCTCTCAATGTGTTTTTTTATTTTTTATTTTTTGATACCAGAGATCGAGCTCAGGACCTGTGCTTATGAGGAAGGCAGTGGCACCACTGAGCTAAATCTGTGGCTTAGTGAGTGTGTTCAGTGATCTTTATAATGATCAATCAAAGTCAGTTAACCTCTGAGAGTTACTATAAAGAAGCCATGAGTGTCCTAACAGAAACACTGTTCAGGAATTTAAAGTTATATTCTCTGAACAGCCTCTCATTGCTCTTAAATGCTTATGTTTGGAACCCTCAGTCATGGGACAGCTCAAATTCAACACAAAGCAACATCATGCTGACATGTATGTACATAAGTGACATACCCAATCTGGACACACTCTCAGCTGAACTTCATTGTTGGAAAATCAAGTGGAAACAGAGGGAAAATACAGATCTATGAAACCCTCCATCTACCTGATACCACTTTTTCCTAATGTGTATGCCTTGCTGAGAGTCCTCTGTATTCTTCCTGTAATGAAAGTTGAGAATGAGCACTATGAAAATGATTGCAAAGTGTCTCAAAGCATATTTGAGGAACACTTTGGTAGACCAAAGGTCAAGTAACTTGGCTTTGCTTAATATAAATTTTGATATAAAATATGAACTGGATTTAATGGTTAGCATATATCAAACTGTACAACTAAATCAAAGCTTCCTATCAATCACCTGGAAACTTGAAAATACCTGAGACTTTTAAAATGAGCTTTCTCTTATATTTGCTATTTAGAAGAAAAGCTATTAGGGGTATGTAGGCCATCTGATCACTGACTATGTTAGCTTATAGTCCTGTCATTGAATATATTAGCCATTGATAATCTCTGTATTTAAAAGGCTTCTCTGAACTCGCTTGCACCTGAGACCTGTCTGTTCTTCCAGAAGATAGCATTGGAAGTGCCATGCCTCACTTTGGCATGCCCACTGCTGGTGGCACTGTGGAACTGTTTTACTTAAGTCATGTTAGACACACTGTCACTGTGAATCTGCTTTCAGGTAGTGAGTTGTCAGTTTTTGAAATGAATTTTGAGGTGGTGTGAGAGAAAGGAGTCTGTCTTATAAAATGTTCTGGTGAAGTTATGATGAAGTCCATCAGTGACCTGTGATTAGTAGGAGTTTTAAGTGTGTTATTAAAAATCTGTAATGGTCAGATAAGGGAATTAATAGAGAGACATTTATGAGCTCACCAGATTTTGTCTTTATTAAATGAACTTGAAAGAAGTGGTTATAGTTAAAGTTTGAACGAAGAGCTTGCCACTATTCCACATCTGGTTATTGATTTTTATACTCCTTTGTCGAGCCTACATCTTCATAAGATCTTTAGCAGGTAAATGTTGAATACTTTGGCTTCATGGTCCAGATGGAATCAGAGACCATCCATATAGGCAACTCTCTTGTCTGTTTTCTTTTGTCTTTCTCCATGACATGTCTTGATTTATAAGCAAAATCTGGAAAACATACAAAATGAATTTTTGTGGTTTATCTAGAAGTAATACAGAAAACATTGTTATTTTTGGTGAAGAAAATTTTTTAATAATTTATTTCAGTCTAAAATATTAATTTTGTTTAAAAAGAAATACTTTTATTCTTAGTGACTATATATTTAAAAATAATAATATATAAAACACCTCTGTGAACTAAAATTAGAAACTCAGTAGAAGAGGACAAAGGACTTTAGAGATTGGTTTGATGTAACTTGTTATAGTTGTATAATTTTTTTTTTGGTACTGGGGATTGAACTCAGGTCCTTGTGCTTGTGAGGCAGGCAGCGGAACCACTGAGCTAAATTCCCAGCCCAGTTGTACAATTATTTCCCAAGGTTAGTCCTAGAGTTGGCCCAGAGTTAGAATAAATTAAATGGTATTTTCACTCTCAGGACTAAACGATGAATTGCAACTTATAAAAACTTTTTCAAAGAAAATGTTTTGTTCATAATGTGGGACCTACGCCTTCTAGTTAATGAAAATTTTAAGTTTAAGAGTGAAATTGTGAATTTGCTCTTGAATAATTTAGTTTTTATATAACTTTTAGTTCTTTTATAAATTTTTTGTTTTTAGATTTATAGAAATATCAGGCTACAGTTAATTCATACTGTGATAGCCTTAATGTTGTTGCTATTGAGAGTTAATTGATCTTTTCTTTCAGAGTACAGAATTTTCTGAGACACCTTCTCCAGACAGTGACTCAGTGAACTCTGTGGAAGGACATTCTGAGCCATCCTGGTTTAAAGACATTAAGTTTGATGACAGTGACACAGAACAGATAGCTGAAGAAGGTGATGATAATTTGGCTAGTGAGTTTGACTTTCTAACATTTTTGTTTTTATGGGTCATTACTGTGTATGTATGATAAAATGAGTGTCTTGTTTAGTTCAAATGATTCTACTTAACAGTTTATGGCACCTACTAAATGTAAATGTCTGATAGCAATCATTTTAGATACAGTATTTTCTTATGAAACCAAGTTGGTAGGCAACTGACATTTACAGATTTTATTGTAGTATATAGTTTGCAGCAGCTTAAAAAATAACTCTGAGCTAATAATATTGCAGCAACTTTCTCACTTCTTCACTATGATATCAGACTTTTCTCTCTGCAGAACCTCCAATATATTTCTTCATTTTTCAAATTGATTTTATATTTAACTTGTTCAAATTTTATATGTCTACACAGAAGTACATGAAAATACTGTATCCATTTTGGTATTGCACATTGGGCTTGTATATTAAAAAAAAAACATTTTTCTCCTTTCCTCCAATATCCTGATAAAACCCATTTTTACTCCCCTCCTCTCCCTGTATTTCTTTCCCCTCCCAACACTAAAAGATTCTGCCAGTCCTAGCAAGCGCACCTCAGTCAGCAGTTTCCAGTCCACAGTGGACAGTGACTCAGCCGCTTCTATCAGCCTGAACGTGGAGCTGGACAACGTGAACTTCCATATCAAGAAGCCCTCCAAGTACCCACATGTGCCCCCTCACCCTGCTGACCAAAAAGGTAGGAGGGAGTCACCATCTGGAATATAGACAAGCTGGAGAGCTGGGCATAGGATCTTATGCCAGCCTGTCCTGGCTTCCTCTGTCCCATATGGCTGAGGGGAATTGGCATGGGTTTTGTTCCCCTCTTTCTCATTTTCCCTGCACACCCCCCCGCCGGGGGACACCCTTATTGGTTGGTTCCTTGTGTTTCTTGTTTTCTCCCTCAGTACCACCATGCCCAGTTTAAAGCTTATAGTCTTTCAAAGGAGCTACATCTGACTACTCTTCCCGTAATGTGCAACTTCCAAGGTGGCATTTCTTCGCATTTATAACATGGATGTTCTGCTCTAGTTTTTTCTCTTTCTTCATTTAACATTTTAAAACCTGTTTGCCTATGCTACTTTGCAGTAACATAGTATGTTTCTAAGCCTGTTCAGTTGCTTGAACTAGATTGGGGGAAATTACACATTTTAAAAACCTTTCACTACTATTTAAAAGGCCTATTATGCATAAAGTGTATTTACTTAAAAAATTCTTCTCTAATTGTTACAAACTGAATTCATTATTTATAGCTATTTTATTTGATGCTTTAGTGTACTGACTCAAATAATGCCGTATTCAGATCGTTTGGTAAAAATGAAAAATCAAGTAAACTGTTCCTAAAATCTAATGTAGCAGTACATAAGAAATGAAATGCCTTTTTAAAAAAAAAGGATGATTAGGTTTACATTTTTGGATGTATTAGAGACTGATTTAAATTATGCCTATACTGTGCATTATATAAAAGCAAATTGAGGGCCGGGGATTTTGCTCAGTGGTTCCCCACCTGCTTTGGAAGCACAAGGACTTGACTTCGATCCCCAATACCAAAAAAAAAAGGGGGAAGCAAATTGAAAGAGTAAACAAATCATTAGGTAGTTTATTTTGTATCATAATAATTGAAAAACTATTATACAGATGAAGCACATTATTCCATGATATTACCTGGAGTTTGAATTTGAAACATTCAACTCTATAAAGTTAAATTATCTCTTAGATCTGAAATGCTTAGGTAATTCTTTGTGCTTATTTTGAGCCTAAAAGTAACAGAAACAAGATTTTGAATTTAAACACCTATATTAAAGTAATTTAAGAAATTTACTTTTCTATAAGCTATTAGCAACATGTTGTACAATGACATTAAGAGTTAGAATAATAAAATGATGTGTCTCACTTAGAAATAAGGAATTTAGAAAGAGAAAATGGGAAAGTAGAATGACTAGAAGTGAACAATAGATTAGATACACATTTTTATGAGAATCTTCAAAACAGAAATTGGAAAAATAATGGAGAATGTCTGGGTGAGTATGAAAGGACAGTGAAGCAAATGTCATACTTGTGTGATAGTTTACTGTAGGCTGTGGTCACATGGGGAATACTAGGGTGCTGAGGCAGGCTGTGTCATGACAGAGGATGTCTGCTCTGTACACCTGTGGGCAGTTTCATTTTGCTGAAAGCAAAGTGTGAAATGCACATATAACTTGCTGATGGTTTCACCTCTTGGGACATTAAGGAAACTTTGAACATCTTGAAAGTGATCTGTCATCATAGAATTCATGGTGGTAAAGGATGGACTGCTGAGCATAGTCACCCATTTACTTGAGGAAACCTAACTTCAAACTGGTGAGAGATGAAGGAACAAGAGGTTCCACTCATGACATTTATACAGTGCAACCTCAACTTACATCTTCAGGGAAAGCGAAAACGGAAGCACCTATAGTTTAAACCCATCTTAAGTCCTCTGGAACTTCTTTGAACTCAAATCTTTAAAAAGATTGTCTGCAGAAGTTATGAATGGCAACCTTCATATGATGATGAGTCCGAAAGAGAGGCCAGCACTTTAAGAAAAATGACAGCATAGCAGAAGTCCAGATTGCATTAAAGGTTGAAGAAATGCCAAGGATATGTGAGAACAGATTCAAGTTGCCATAGAAAGAAAGAAAAATCTTCGTAGGAAAGAATATAGTTAAGAGGAAAGTGAGGTCTAAGAGAGTGAAGAGATAAGAGAATACTTGGTTATTTAAAAAATTTTATTTTATTTTATTTTTTGGTACTGGGGATCTAACTCGGGAGCTTGTGCTTGTGAGGCAGGTGGCGGAACCACTGAGCTGAATCCCTGGCCCGAACTCCTTATTCTGAAACAAGTCTATAGCCAGCCAGGTTTAGGCAGACTGAATGCCAGATTGTGGAAGGGATTTAAATCTGTATTCATGGAACTGAGGTTTGTTATTCTTGAACAATCATGTAAAATAGGAGAAAGTCTAGCTGACTCTAATGATAGATGCATTACATTTTTTAAAAAGTGGCTTTATAATGTGGCATTAAGAGCCAGCAAAATTTCAGAAAAGCTTAGTGAATATAGTGTATTGAGGTATTTGGAAAAGGATTAATAGTGATTGAGGATCTGGTTTGTTAACTAAAATAAGTCATTTTGAAAAACTTCATTTCCAATTTAGGTTGATGTGAGGTTGGTAGATTAGGAGAATATCATAGTTACAGTTTTCTTGATGTTAACTACGCATTTGATAGTCTTTCATAGCTTTGTAGACAAAGATGACAGTTTTGTACTTGAGGTGTATTACTAGTTAAAGGCAGTGGTAATTGTTTTTTTGGTACTGGGGATTGAACTAGGGTTCTTACGCTTGCAAGGCAGGTGATGGAACCACTGAGCTAAATCCCTGGTGACAGTGGTCATATTTATTTGTTAAAATCATAGGTTCTAGAGTCTTTGTGAGCTTTTTAAAATTATAAATTGACAAATTATAATTGTGTTTGTTTTTATGGGATATGAAGTGATGTTATGACCTATGTGTGCAGTGGAATGATTAAATCAGGCTGACATTATCACCTCAGATACACTACTTAGGATTTGTTTGTTTGTTTCTTGAGATAGGATCTTGCTGTATAGTTCAGGTTGGCCTTGAACTCACTGTATAGCTCTGCTGGCCTTGAACTTGCAGTGACCCTCCTGCCTTAGCCTCCTGAGTGCTAGAATTACACATGTGTACCCTATGCCTGGCAATACTTAAAATTTTTTGTGATGACATTTTCTCAGCAGTTTTAAATATACAGTGTGCTATTATTAACTGTAGTCATGTTGTATAATAGATCTCAAAAAATGTATTACCCTATTTAACTGAAACTTTCTATCCTTTGATCAACATCTCCACATATCCTCTATGCAGACTCTCACCACCACCATTCTACTTATGAGTTTTTTGGATGAAAACAAGAAAATAGTTTGATGATGTAAGAGCTTAGTAAAATCACTATTAGTTCATAAATTTGTGGCTTATTTTAATAGTAGTACAAAATACTGAAATGATAAACGATAATTCATTGTCAACAGGAAGAGATTCCAAAGTTATGCTATAGGATTTTATCTATTGTTCAACACTTATTTTTTGGTCCACACTTTCAGTGTTTTTGAGGTCCACAAATTATTAAAATGTAGAGGGAATGGATAGCATATTAGCAGAAGTAGTACTTTAAAATCTGTATTTTCTTAAGCAGTAGCTGTGACTAATAAGATGAAATTTAACACATAGTGTCATTAGCAAAAAAAAAGTCTTTTTTTTTTTTTTGAGACAAGGTCTTGCTTTGTAGTGTGGGCTAGCCTTGAACTCAGTGTGTAGCCCATTCTGGCCTTGAACTCGAGGTGATCCTCCTGCCTCAGCCTCCTGAATACTGGGATTACACTACCAAGCCTGGCCTTATATTTGGTTTTGACAGTTCTTGCTTACTAGTTTGTTCCTTATTAACAATAATAGTAATTTTTTTCATGTATCTTATGAAATTAGATTAAAATAAAACAATTTGCTGTTTTGTGGTTAAGATGAACACTACCAAAAGAGTAAAGATTATGCGAGACATGAAAGGTTTATCTGAGAGGATAGAATTCTTGCTCTGGTTTTCATTCCCTTTAAGTAAATACAAAAGGAAATGGTTCTTTTTTAGTCTTTCCATTCAAATAAAGGTAGGGCTGGGGATTTAGCTCAGTGGTTCTGCCACTTGCCTTGCCAAGTGCAAGGACTCGAGTATGATCCCACCAAAATCACTGAAATAAAGGTAATATTAAATCTTTTTTTAAATGGATTGTCCTCTTGTCTTTTACATCTGAGGAAATTTGTGTTTATAAAATTTTCTGAGATATCTGTACTTAAAAAAAAAAAAGACTGCTTCCTGGATGTTCTGGCACACTGCTATAACCCCTACTGTTCGGAAGGTTGAGGCAGGAGGATTGTAAATTTTAGGTTCTTCAGCCCTCTGCTCTGGGAGGCTGAGGCAGGAGGGTTGCAAGTCCAGCCTGTGCAACTCAGCAACATGGTGAGACCCTGTCTCAAAAGAAAACATCTTTTAAAAGATTTGGGGATGCAGCCGAGTAGTAGAATGCTTACCTAGGATGTTCTGGCTTCAAGGCCATCACCAAACACACACACACACACACACACACACACACACACACACACACACACACTCTCTCTCTCTCTCTCTCTCTCTCATACAAATCTGCTCATAATTTTTATATAGGAAAATCCATTATTTTTAGAAGCATTTAACACGTAAGTGTGATCTTTGGTTTTTTAATTTCTCACTATTGGTCTTAAAAAGTTGTACAGTTAAAATACATTTTCTCATGTATAGATTGAAAGCAGAATTCTGAACCATTCTTGGAAAGTTAGCAAGTAGAGTCCAAAGAAGAAAGGGAAAATCATAACTTCTGTAAGCCTCTTGATCAGATTTCCCTTGTACATATAAGGCACAGAGCAAATTAAGCACTCCATGAAGAGATCAAATCCAGAATGTGGGACATTACACAGGATATTTGGCCTGGATTTTTAAAAACTCTTCATTATGGAAAGGAAAACAATGTACGGGAAGTCTGTTCTAGATTAGAAGAGACAGAGCTACCAAGTGCTATGGATGAACCTTACTAGATCTAAGTTTGAGGAAAAACTATCAAAGTCATGTTGAGGACAATTGGATTAATTTCAATAGATAACTAATTGTATGACACTAAATTATATGATATTAAGATGCTAGAGATGTATTTTGAAGCATTAGTGATAAAGTGTTGTGTGTATAAGTTTAAATGATTGGTACTACTCAGCCATAAAACATGAGAAACTAGAGACATTCGTAGGAAAATGGATGCATATTGAGGCCATCCTCTTTAAGTGAAATAAATAAGGCACACATTGTAAATACTGAATAGTTTCTCTGGTGTGAAAAACTAAAAGTGCAAATAAGATCCAAATTGTATAACTGATAAAGTAAAATAGGAAGAAAAGGGCTAAAGGTGTAGGGGAAGTGGGAAGGGTAGGGGTAAAGAAATAAGGGGAAAAGAAAAAATATGAGAAGAAGTTTAAATGATTGGGGGAAACAGCATATGTATATGTAGAGAGAAAAGAAGTGTGGCCAGTCCTTAAATTGTGGAATCTATCTAAGTAGAAATCTACACCATTGTATGTTTGAATTTTTTTTCATAATATTGGGGAAAAGTCTGTCCTTTCTGAACTCATATATAAGCTTCAGTGTGAGAAGTAAGGCTTGTGAAGAACAATGAATTAGTTGAACTAACAGGATTTAGCATTATCCATTTCTGCAAGGAGAATATATAAGTAAAATTTAACATCTAATCTACATACTTGATTTAATTATTTATTACCTTTGTAAATTCTAAATAAAATGTTTTTTTCTACTTTCTGGTTGGAGGGATGAGTACATTGTATTATAAACATACTAACTTTTTTTTTTTTTTTTTTGGTACTGAGGATCGAACTCAGTACCTTGCACTTGCAAGGCAGGAGCAGCACTACTGAGCTAAATCCCTAGCCGAAACATATTTACTTTTGAAGTTTACTTGGTTATACGTGAACTTTGAAAAATTTTTGTGGAGAAGTTTTACTTTAAAGGAGATAAAATACAGTGTGGCTTAATTTGCATATTAGAAAGAACCTCATTTAAGCCATGCTTGGTCATCTCTGTAGAGGAACATTGAAGGGGAAATGAGTAAGTTTCACTTGTAAAAAAAATACTTAGAATTTTGAAAGCATTGAGAATGTGTTTAGCAGTTACCTTCTGGCAAAAATTTGGCAGTAGTTAGAACGTTTGAAAAAAACTAATAATAAAAAATTAATGTTATAACTTTATTCTCTACTAATGTTACTTTCATATAAATTTGTTTTATAGCTTATGTTCTTAACTTTAAAATGTATTCTATCAAAAAAGTGTATATATTCTATCAAGTGGCTTTTCTGTGAACTACATTGTATATAGACAAATTGATTAATTTTTTGTTGTTGTTGTTATTGGTACCGGGGGTTGAACTCGGGCCCTTGCTCTTGCAAGGTAGGTAGCGGAACCACTGAGCCAAATCCCTGGCCTTCTAGATAAATTGGTTATTAAATCACATTTATACATAAGAAAAATTGTGTAATATTTTAGGCTTGTTATACAAATTACTGTTAACTTCAGTTTTTATAAACTGATTCAGTTTTGGTAACTGAACATTTACCATTTGGTAAATGCTTAACATTTGAAGTAAAGTAAATTTTTTTGTGGTTCTGTTGAGTTATGAATTCAGGCCTATTAAGTTTAATGTGAAAAGTGTAGAACAAGTATAGAGAGCATCTTAGCACAAAGTGTTGTTGAGATTGGAGCATGATGGGTTATTATGAGTGACATGTTTGACATGTTGTATGTGGGTGTGTTCTTTGTTCATTATGCTGGCCATATGTAGTCATACGTGTTTCCTTTCCTTCCTCCTCTGTTCTCTTCCTGGTTTGCAGAGTATTTGATTTCTGACACTGGAGGACAACAACTCTCAATAAGTGATGCCTTCATCAAAGGTAATTTTACCAACAGTTGTACAGTGGATGATGTCTTGTTCTTGAAGGTATTCTTAGGGTGTAGCGCAGTGATTGACATAGAATAGGTGATGAAAATATATTTGATTGTTTTAATATTATAGGACCACAGTTTTTTATATGTGTAATGACTGAGAATATTAAAAGACATTAATGTAAACTTGGACTTGATTTGAGAGAAAATCTACCTGAAAAGTAGTTGTTTGAAAGCTTTTGAATACAATTTCAGTTTCATTTTTAAAGACATTAATGGTTTATTTTATTTATTTATTTATTTATTTATTTTTTGAGACAGGGTCTCACTATGTAGTTGAGACTGACCTGCAACTCACTATGTAGCCCATGCTGCTCTCAAACTCACAGCGATCCTCCTGCCTCAGCCTCCTGAGTGCTGGGATTACAGGCGTGCATCACCACGCCTGGCTGGTTTATATTTTCTTACATTATGAATATAATATTAAATATTGGTACACATATCATTGAGGATTGCCAACTTTGTCCAGAAGCCCAAAGGCAGATATCTTCTACTCGAGGATACTGCTTGCTGTTGTACAGTTTTGAATAGAAGTAGACAAAAGGGATATGTAAGTATTTGCTTATCAGTTCTTTGATTCAAAATATATAAGCCTTTTCTTATGCCTTCCTTACTTGCCGTACTGTGGAATAAAAAGACATACCATGTTTGTCCTCAGCATTCCACAGTTTTGTCTTCTGATAATGGCTGGTGCTCCTTCGCAGTGTCTTTTCTGGCTCCTGGGGCTCAGATAGTAAAGGTGGGGCACTTTGGTACAGGGAGTCCCTATAGCTTATCTCTTCATTTGCTGGGCTTTTGAAATTTCACCTCCACACACCTGATTCAGCTGGATTGTTCAGTAGAAAAAATTTTTCAGTCCCATTATTACTACTATTAGTAGTAGTAGTATTCAGCAGTTACTTAGTGAGCATCTTTTTTGCAGAGCATTTGCTATCAAATTTTGTCTTGATCTACCTTCGCTCTTTTTACAAATTTAAAGACTTAATAAAACTTTAAATTGCTGTGTATCATTTTAATATTTCTTTGTAGTTTATTTTTGGGTCAATCTTGATACAATTTTGTTAAAAGTCTCTGGAGTATCACTCTGAGTTTGAGGCCAGCCTCGACCACATAGCAAGACCCTGTATCAGAAAACCAAAACAAAACAAAAAAACCCAAAACAACAAAAAAAACCCCAAATTGTTTGGATAGACTTTCCACACTGTCACTTGTTCAGATACCTGAGCAGAACTGCTGCCTTGACAGTTCAGTACCCACAGTATCAATATTAATTCTGCAGGCATTTGGATTTTGATCGATTGCAGTTTTCCATTTGTGATTTTGTGGGGAAAATACACACTTTCTTCTTTATTATTACAAAATATGTTAAAGTACAGTGCAAAAAGCAGTTTTGTTTGCCTTTCAGAAGCCATTTTTGTATTCTTGGCTTGATCCTAGTCCTTTATGTAAATTTGCTTTTTTCAGTTTATTTTGGGTTTTGGATCTTATCAGTTACTTCTCTTTTGCTTTTCCTTTTTGCAGTGCTGGGAATCTGTGGTCAAACCCAGGCCCTTGCATAGGCTAGGCACATAGACCACTGAGCTATACCACAGCCTCTGCTTCTGTATTTTTAATATATTTGTGTATGTACATATGTATTTATGTATGATGACATTTTATGTATTGTGTATTTATTATATGTCTGCCATTTTATACCAATAATTTATATTGGCCAACATAAAAAATTTAAAAAGAGAAATTGGTAATTTGCACCTGTGTGAGTAGATGGTGTACAATGTGATGATGAAGTATTAACTTCTTTTTTATACTTAGAATCCTTGTTTAATCGCCGAGTAGAGGAAAAATCCAAAGAACTGCCTTTTACACCTTTGGGTTGGCATCATAACAATCTGGAGCTCCTGAGAGAGGAGAATGGGGAGAAACAAGCCATGGAGAGGTTGCTGTAAGGCACTGTTTTAATTTAATTTTCTATTTTCAGAACCTTCAGTGACTTAGGCAAGTGAATAGTTTCTCAAACTACCACATTTTACATCTTAAAATTTCATTTCATCAAATTAATGGAGACATCTTAATTGACTACATTCACAGATTTCATTTACTGTATGTGCAAAAACCACTAAGGTGCAGATATATGAAATAATGAGATCTTGAGAGATGTAATTGAGATACTTCTTTGTAGACTGCTTATTATGTTTTCAGAAATCATGTCTAGCTGTATTAACTATGCAAACTTCTGTTTTGTAACATTTTTGTAGTTCAGCTAATCATAACCACATGATGGCACTTCTCCAGCAGTTGCTCCATAATGACTCATTATCACCCTCTTGGAGGGACATCATTGTGTCACTAGTCTGCCAGGTTGTTCAGACAGTCCGACCTGATGTCAAGAACCAGGATGATGACATGGATATCCGTCAATTTGTCCACATTAAAAAGGTGGGCTCTCCTAATGCTCTGTAAATATGAGGAATGGGTGAGGCCAGCCTGATGGCAGTTTGTCTCCTACTGGTAATCTACAAAGTCATCGCTGTAAGGGTTACTGAGTGATTGGTGGGTGTTTTGCTGTCTGCTTTGTTAGCAGTGCACTTAGTGACTGTGGGAGCCACGCAGGAAGTGAGAGGTGGATGGAAGGGGCAAGTTGAGTGGAGGATGAGGTGGAAACCAAACAAATACAGTTGTTTGCTTTTTCACTTCTTCTTCTTGACATACTAGTTATGAGAAAGCCTGTTCTCACCAGTCTGTAGCTGTTTGGAGAAAAATCAGTGGCTAATTGCTTTAAGTAATGGAGTTCGTGTATTTTTCACGTATTTAACTTAAACAATATTGGTTTTAATCACTGTAGATTTATTCAGTCACTGAGTATTTTAGAGTCAAATATTACATTAGAGAATAGGGATAGGAAAATAGACCATCATGCAAAGAGATGCCATTAGTCATTGGCTAAAAGGAATAAAGGTATTCTGGAACTTCTTGTGCTTATTAGATCATGTAATAGTTAAAATAAAACATGTAAAAAAAATAAGAGCATTCACCTGAATGGATTTTAAGGATTTATCTTTGAATTTTTTTTTTTTATTATTCCATTAGATTCCTGGTGGAAAGAAATTTGATTCTGTGGTTGTCAATGGCTTTGTTTGTACGAAGAACATTGCACATAAAAAGGTAATGTGATTCAAGTCAATGCTGAAGTAAAGCAGATTATGACTGGGAGCTCAGGTAACAAGTTGGGATCCCTTAATCATGGAAGAATGGGCAGATAGGCATCAAGGGCAACTAACAGTGTCTGCCATACAGGTGAAATTTTGGAGGTTCGTGGAAGGTCTTCTCGAGTTGATGGTAAATGGATTATAATTTGCATAAAGGGAATTCATCAGGTTGAAGGGAGGAGGAAGTCTAGGCTTTCAGAGCAACAGGATTCTAGAATATTGATGATATTATTTCTCTTTAGATCCTGCCACATCTTAGGGTGATATGGTTCTTCTGGAGTCCAAGAGGCATAATGGTTTGGTTACTTTTCTCATTGCTATGACAAAATACCTGACACCTGAAGTTATGGAGAAAAGGTTTATTTGGCTCACAGTTTGTATAGGTTTTAGTCCGCAGTTAGCTGGTTCCAAGGCAGAGTAACAGGGCTGACAGGCATCACAAAGGAGAAACAGTTCATTGTAGGCAGAAAATAGTGAAGCAACAAGGGGCGACCATAGCTCTTTCTATTCTTTATATCTCATCTGGGCTACTTAGGGCAGGTAGCATTCACACCCTTACTCCTAGTGCCCTGGTCCTAGCATTGCATCATGAATCAATCCCATACTCTCCATCCAGCCACCTCTGAAAAGCCTCACCCATAACTATATGAGTCCTTTTGGGGGCATCTTCAACACAAACCATAGCACTTAGCATTGTAATACTGTTCTCCATTGTAGGGCTAAGCTACAGAACTATCACTGTTACTCTGTCTTCCTTCTCACCTGTGCTATCTCTGCCCTCAGTCTTGAAGCTTTTTTCCTGCACTAGCAAGGAGGTTGGAGTAAAATACTTTGGGGATTAAGGAATCTCTGAGCTTGTCACATGTCAGATGGGCAATGGCAGATGAGGCCAGAAGAAGCAGGCAAGGGCTTTGTATTCCAGTAACAGACTTAAATTTTGCTTGGAAAGCTTCTGATTCTCAGAGAACAGTATATAGCATGATCACCTGGGGGCCTAGTGAAACATGTTGATTCCTAAGCTCAGCCCCTTACAAATTCTCATTTAAAAGATTTAGGAGTGTGGGACTGCCTGGATGCCAAGGAGGGAATCATGGTGCACATTAAAATAGGAACTCCAGTGCTATATGCATGTGTGGAAATAGCACAACTAACCCCATCAATATGTACAACTAATACATTTTGATAAAAGATTAATAGATAAAACAGAAGACAGAGGCACTCCAAATTTTTCCAGTGTCACTTTGTTGGTTCTCACATTTTGGTGACCTATTGATATATGTAGAAGTGTTCTCAGACCTTGCTGTGCTCCAGATTCACCAAGGGAATTTATTAAAAATAGAGATACCCTGGCCTCACTTCTGGAGATACTAACTTTTGTTACAGTTAAGAGCTGAGGGAGAGCTGGGCATGGTGGCGCATGCCTATAATCCCAGCACTTGGGAGGCTGAGGCAGGAGGATTGCTGAGGTTGAGATGAGCCTGGGCTACATAGTGAGTTCCAGGTCAGTCTCGACTACATAGTGAGACCCTGTCTCAAAAAACCAAAAAAAAAAAAAAAAAGCTGAGGGAGATTCCTAGCTCGAGTGAGTAGATTGATAAACTGTAGTCCTGTTTTTCATTCTTTTTTAAATGGAGACTAATACAGTTGTCCCTCGGCATCCACAGTGAATTCGTTCCAGGGTCCTCTGGTGATGTTAATAATGTGAAGATGCTCAAGCTCTCTCTATAAAATGGTGTAGTATTTGCATATAATCTTGCATACTCTTCTGCTTACTTTACGTCATTGTTAGATTATTTATAACTGTAATGTAAATTTTGGTTAGTAGTAGTTATACTATATATTGTATAGGAAATCACAAGAAAAAAAAATCTCTGCATATTTACACACATGGTTCTTTCTCCCCCACATATTTTCTGTCTGATTGGTTGACCCCATGGATTGAATCCATGGCTGTGGAACTCATAGATATGGAGGGTTGACTGTAAGACATTGTGCCTCCAGAAGATTGTTAGTAAAAGTATGATAAGTAAAAGTATGCTTGGGTTCAGTATTATTTCATAGCAGGCTTTCCTTATGACCCACCCTGCTTCCTCCAGGGTGTACTTTTATCTTGCTTTTTCCTCTTTTCCACCGCCTGAGCTCACTCTGCAGAGCCAGTTTCTCTCTCACTCTTCACTTTTACTTTCTCAAATAAACTTTGCCGCTGGAAAAAAAAAATTCCATAGCAATGGCCCCAGATCAGGTACTATTTCATTAGTAGACAAAAAAATTTTATTAGTATGTGTTTGCGGTTCGTGGAGTTTACAGTCATCTTGGGGAATTGGGTATACAGTACAACTTTTTTTTTAACTAATCCCTTTCCCCTTCTATCCCTCTCTCCCTCCTCCTCTGATTCCCCTTTCACCTATTTCATACTTGTTGATATAGCTCATATTATTACATGTAGTGTTTACATTGATTGGTGTAATTAGGGTCCTGTATATGGCACATCTTTATTCCTCTCATTTCATTAATAGCCTTATTAAAATAAAATTACTCTTTAAAGTTGTATTTTAACCAGATTAAGTGATGTTTACTTTTAAGCCAAATTAAATTAATAGGTAAATGTGTTTTTCTCAGGAATTGCAGAATTGCAGAGCTATATGTGCCTGTGGTAGAAATGCATGCATGAATGACTATCTTGACCCTCTGATCATATTTAGAGATAGTCTTACGTTTGCAATGGCTGAAAGACCCCTGAATATCATTCCTTAGGTAGTGAGTCACTGTTCTCAGAGCTCTTTGCCAGTGTGAGCTCTGTAAGTGAGGTCAGTATGATACCGTGATTACAGTGTGCAGGCCAGGCTACCCGTGGCATTTTGTTGCATGGTTGGGATACATTTCCTGAGTCTCTACTTTTGGAGATGGTTTAAAATTTTCTTTTTAACTTCATGTTACCCAGTTCAGCTTGCCAACTGAAATGATTATTTGAAAATTTAGTCTATTAGAAATATGTTCAGGAGGTATTTTTAACTCTTTTCTTCCTCTTCTACCCATTTGGAAGTTTATTCTGTTACAGATATGTTAAGGGGGCATTTGAGTTTTGTTTTGTTTTGTTTTGTTTTTCCTTATTTACCTCTCTTGAAAAGAATTTTTTTTTATTGCATTTTGGGTTTTTTTTGAGAGGGTCTCACTATATAGTTCAGGCTGGCCTTGAACTCAGAGCAATCCTCTTACCTCCGTGTCCTGAGTGTTAGGATTACAGATGTGCACCACCACACCCAGCTTACTTGAATTTTTATTTTTTTACATCAGACAATAATTTGCACTTGAGAGCTCCAATATGTTTTATAGGTTCAATTCTTATTAATAGCTTTCTGTGAGTGGGAAACGGGGGGCAGTTTGTAGGTAAAAAGTATTCACATAAACATACAAATAGTGGTTTTTCTCAACCATTATGACTACCTAACCAGTTTTGAATCATAAATAATGAATAATATGTACATAAAATACCCAACAGTACCATAACTGTACAATATTTTTTTAAAATTTATTTTTTTTATTAGTATATATGTGATAATATTTATATTCGTTGTGGGAAGTTGGTACATGTACGTAACACAACTCACCTGCTTTTTCTTTCTCTTCTTTTCCCTCCATCTCTTGAATAGAAATTTGCTATCAGAGTTGATCTCGTGAAGTTTGTGAAATAGCCTTTTTGTAAGCCCTGCATGATATCCTCTTACAGCATTAAAGTTTTAAAAAAGTTAAGAGTATAAAGGGATAGACTTACCACCTAAAAGCCACATTTTAAAAATTTTTGCCTTGGTCTGAACAAATTATTTATTTTGAAAAAAATAAAGTAACCTAAAAGTACTAAATGAGAATATATTCACACTCGTAAAATGATATGCTTTAAGTTACTAGTAATTATGAGCAGTGGGAATTTAGAATTATGACTAAAAGAGGTCTGTATAAAATGCAAACTTTAGCAGCTTTAACAACTGTTCATTTTATTTCAGATGAATTCTTGTATTAAAAACCCCAAAATTCTTCTGTTGAAGTGTTCCATTGAGTATCTCTACAGAGAAGAAACTAAGTTTACTTGCATTGATCCTATTGTGCTTCAGGTATTATTTACTACTGAATATTAATAATTCGGAGGGATGTGATTTTTAAAAATTAATTTTATTAGTATACTTTAGATATAAAGATCATTCATCATAGAGAATTTGTACTTGTACATGATATATCTTGATTCTTCTTTTTTTCCCATTCCTTTTCCTCTAACCCTTCTTCCCCTCCTTATCTACAGAAGCTTTGTTACCATTTTTTTCTTTTCTTCTCTTTTTTTTTCTCCTTTTGAAGGATGTATTTTACTATGATACTTGGGATCTCTTAATTATTTTTAAAGGAAATGTCTTGCTCATGTTATATTTTAAAAATTTATTGTAAAAGATACTTATATGTATTATTTAGAACTAGCTTGCTCAACCCTCTGTCACTCATTTTTAAAGTGCTAAATTGTTAAAGGGAACACATGATTGTTTGGGAATATATTGAAGACAAAAGTGAAACCCAGATACTGGATTCTCTTTCCCACTTGGGCCACTGATTTACTGAGAAAATTTCTGGAACTTTTCAGGTCCTGATAGAATCTCCAGTTTATAATGTTGCCTGTTCTACTAAAAGACATTTCTGAAATACCATTTAACTTGTATATAGTTGGTGAGAAGGGAAATGCCAGATGGAAGTTGTGCTGGTTTCTGTGTGGTTTTCCTAAGCAAGGGGGCCCAGAATAGCTGTAGTAAGATTATAATCCTCATCTAGAATTAAAAATAGCCTTAGCTGTTATACAGGCAAGACTCTTTTTAGAGCTGCTTGTTTGTTTGTTTGTTTGTTTGTTTGTTTAAGACAGGATGTTGCTATATAATTCAGGTGTCCTTGAACTAACTCACTATGTAGCCCAGGCTGGCCTTGAACTTGATGTGATCCTCCTGCCTCAGCCTCCTGAGTACTGCAGTTACAGATATGCACCAGGACGCCTAACTTTAGGCTCTGTTTTAAGAAGTTAAAAGTGATCATTTCCTTGCAGGCCCTCTCCCCAGGGAGGTGTAACTGAGCCCTATGTGTCTGTTGGTAGTCTTACTGCTCAGCACTCTGTGTCCTGATGTATGGTTGTAGTTCTTTATGTGACTTTTAAATTTCCTTTGAGGAAGCCTTGATCTCTGCTAGCTGGCTGTCTGGGCTGTCCAAGTTCTCTGTTGAAGTGTTAGTGCTATGGATATGAAACTGTATGGATTTGAAGTCTCCTGCACATGTTTTTCTCAGAAATGCTGTTAATTTTAATTTGTGGTCATTCAAATGGGTCATTCAAATGTGGTTGATTCAAAATGGGAAGTTTTTAGCATAAATGTCATATTACAGGAGAAATTTATGCCTACTTACAGAAATATTTAGGAAAAGCATGTTTGAAAATTCAAGGTGATCACATTTTCCCAATCATTTTTGTTCTGAATTCATAGATGCCAGTAAGCAAAACTGAGCTTGGTTAAAGGCCTAGTGCATTTTGAAACTGTGCTCTTGATCTTAAGCCTGTTACTCTGGCCTCAGTCTTTTTGGACTCAACTAATGTCACCAGTAAAAAATGAGAGGCTTAGATTTAGTTCTACTTTTGATTACTATGACTTTTCAGTAGAGAATTTAAAAGGAATGAGAGGAAACACAATTAGTGTCATTTACAGAATGTGAAAAACTTTGATTTTTGTTTTTTTGCGGTGATGGGAATCAGGGGCACACTTGTTCATCATGCCCTGAACTCTGCCACTGAGTTCTGCATCCATCCGCAGTCTTGGAGTTTTTCTGGTCTCACAGAAGATTTTAGCAGAGGACTTTAAAAGGATTAGGTCACAACTGCATTGATTATAAGATGCATCCTGGTTGTAGAGATATTAAAGTGAAGTAGAGCAATTGAAATCCATAGATATTATTGTATTATTTAAATTTGCCTACTTTATTATTGCAATCAGCTTACAAAATAAAATCTTTTCATGTTAGAGAAGTGTGCTGAGGTTAGATATGTTAGAAACATGATTTTTCTAGATGTGGTGGTGCATGCCTATAATTCCAGCACTTGGGAGGCTGAGGCAGGAGAAGCTCTGCATGTTTGAGGGCTGCCTGAGCTACATCATGAGTTCGAGAACAGCCAGAACTACACAGTGACACCTTGAAGCAAAAAAAGCCAAAAACCAAAACAACAACAACAAAATAAAACCAAAAGAAACAAGATTCAGCTCAGAAAATGTAAAGCATCTTGTTCATCATTTCTTTTAGATAGTTTCATGGTGCTTTTAACTCCTGCCCTAGTAATCTTTTTGAATTGAAAAAAAGATTTGAATTCAAAGTTTCAGCTGATTTTTTTCCTTTCTTTTCTTTTCTTCCCTTCCTTTCCTTTCTTTTCCCTTTTTTCTTATTTTTCCCTTCATCTTTCTCCTTTCCTTTCTTTCCTCTCCTCTCTTCTTCTTGTCTACCCAGGGTGGAATTACTAATTAGAGAAGAAACAGAAAGGTAGATAGAAAAAGGAGAATGAGGAACAAAGGGGTGAGGAGATTATTAGGCTGTGACTTTAGACTGTCTCCTGGGGCAGGGCCCGTGAACTCTGTTGGTCTGCCAAGCTCTCTGTACTCAGTGCTCTACCTCCTGGTACTCTTACCTGGCTGAGCTTGGACAAGGGCATCTTTTTCATGCAGTGTTTCACGTACAATTGTAGTACTTAATTAGAACTGAGAAGAAATTTATTTGCCATCCATATACTAGAGGCAGAAACTTTAAAAAGTTGATTTTAATTATACTTTATTGGAACTGCAAAAATAAAGACATTTTTAATGCTATTAAATTATAACTGAGGGCCAGGGATTTAGTTCAGTGGTGCCGCCACCTGCCTTGCAAGAGTAAGGACCTGAGTTCCATCCCCAGTACCTCACCCAAAAATATTGTAACTGAGTCAGCAGAGTAGAAAATTAATACATTTCAGGGGGCAAATTCCATTTTGTTACTAATGGGAGAATTTGAAACTGTAAGTTTGTCTTAGGAAAGCAGGCAAAGACTAGAAGAAATATACTCCATAACTGGTCACGTTCATTGCAGAAATAAGCTCATGTATTGCTAGTGGCTAACACGAATACAGTCTTGCTCAGAAAACACTGTTGGTACATAGAGCAGGAGTTAGAATCATGTACATTTTCAGTTGTTTCTTATGTAGAGCCCGGAAATTTTATAAAAGAGTTAACACATTGAATTCTTTTAACTCTGGTTATTATTTAAAATATTCATTTGCTTTGAATGATGAAGTTATATTAATTTACATTTTAGATTGCTGGGTGTTCAAGGTAGATTATGATTGGTTGGGAGTTTGGAACTAGGAAGTAGCTGAAATAGCATCAGTTGAAGAGCTAGTTTTTCTAATATTCCAAAGAAGAGATGCTTCTGGGAAAGAGAGAATTCATAACCATATTAAAAGCATTTAAACATTGCTTTTATTCGGGAGGGTTATGAGGTTAGATTTAGTGATTGCTCAATGCAATTTTTTAACCTCTGAGCACTAGCTAATTGGAAGTTCAAGTTTTGTAATATAGGCTATTTAAGGATTGAAATTCTTTCAAACTGAAATTAGTTGGAGAATGGAATTACTCTTGAAAATCTTCAGCATAATCAGTTTAGAATGATGACTGAAATTCTTGATTATATTTGAATTAATTTTGTGTCAGACTTATTTGTGGGTAAAACACTTAGGCTGAGATTTATATTAATAATTAAGTTGTCTTGATATTTTAATTTGTCTAGGTCTTGAATGGTTATAATATTTCTGGTTTATCTGACTTAGGAAAGGGAATTCCTAAAGAATTATGTTCAGCGAATAGTTGATGTTCGACCCACATTGGTCCTGGTTGAGAAAACAGTGTCTCGGATTGCCCAGGACATGTTACTGGAACATGGTATTACATTGGTCATTAATGTAAAGTCCGTGAGTGCTCTTATTTTTATATCACTGTAAAAATGAATGCTTTCAGATTCACAGTATGTGTGTATGTAATTCACAGTATATATATA